GTGGCCCTATAAACAGGATCAGTAAACCTGCACGGATGCAGAACAACAAATTTGTAAACATGACAGCACACGTTTAGGAAATCAATGGTTTCAGTCACAGGCTTAAAAGAAAATAAGTCTAAATGATTCTGGCTCTTATCGCTTACCGTGCCATTTTGCGGCAGCAAATTTGCTATCTGAAAATTACCCGAGGCCCATTTGTCTGAGTCATCCTGTCAGCAGAGTAATGCGGCATGGTAAATGTAATATTTATTCATTCTCTGCTTTCATGCCTGGCCTGTCTCGCTGAAAGGTTTTTAATCCCCTGTCCTAACCATAAATGATGTACTGCGCTTTTTCTTTTTCTCACCCACGCCTGAATCTCATTATCTTCACTCTGCGTAATAAAGCTTGGTTCGGATTAGATCTTGGCACCTAACGCTTGTTAGCCTGACAAAGGCTGTTAGCAATGTTACGGCGAGCGTTCATCCGCCACGGTAATTGGAGGGCTCTGGCATAATTAGTTTAGAGAATTAAACTGCACGCAATTACTCTAATCCATTTTGGTTATAATAAGGTGTCCTGCCGAACACCACAATGTGCAAAACCATGGCTGAGCTGATCCCTGCAGGCTAAATTTGTTTTCTTTCATGTGTCCCCCCTCCTCTTTAAATGCACAGACTTTGGTCATTAATAATAAGCCACTGAAAGTAATCATACAGCCGTTAATTTATAAAAAAAAATTAAAGTTACGTTTGCACATTAACCTTTGTCTGCTGGACATCCCTGCCACCTGCACAAGGAGCAAAATTAAAAGCCTTCAATTAACGACCGAGTCTTTTGAAACTGCTGCATTCTCTGAAGTTAATTGTTCTACAAAAGGGGGTATTGTTCGCATTTTCATGTATAAATCATGAATATTGATGTATGATTACAGCATGTAAATTTGGAAATTAACCTCATATTTGTGTTTTGCCTACCATAGCATTTTGATCGATTTTCAAATAAAAATCTGCATCTGCAACATGAAGTGATAATTTAATTTCTTACATGTTCAATGGTAATGTTGAAAAGGACTCGTAAAAAAAAACAAAGGTAAATGAACACATTAATGCGAACAGAAAATGTCAATTTCCAATAATCCTGTAAAGGCTCACGAAAGCATCGTGAACTCTTTCAGGAGGGTCCTGTATTGAGATGCTTGGGCCTGCGCCGTGAATGTGCACAGTCTCTTCTCCTACAACGCGTGTTGTTTTTATAACGCTAATTGGATATACCGTCAAGAATGCATTAGGGGACACATCTTTTTTAAATAACGCAGATGCCAATTGGATGCAACGCGATTGAGCGAACAGAACTATGCTGCGCGAGTAGGAACAGTGTACGGCTGCCACAGCACAGCGTCGCACAAGGCGGGATGCTGCTGGATGCTTCCAGATGCTCCCCACGCGCCTCAGTCTTTGTTCAGCCTGCGTAGGCATCTCACGCGTTATCGCGGACTGTGCTTTTACCCTATGTTATTTATTATAGCGCGATTTTTCCATAACGCGGTGTTCTTCAGGAACGCGACTATCGTGTTATAGGATAATGTATTTGGTATGTGGGAGTAAAGCGAAGAATCCGTAGAAAAGCCGCCACTAGTACAAAGGGGGGATGCTCACAGCTGCCACCTCAGGGCCAACACATGAAAAGCTCTGGTGATCACTTATCCAAGTAATAACCAGACCAGCCCCTTCTTAGCGCATGAAAGCCGACAGGATTGGCTGCATCATGCGTGATAGAGCATACAAATAACACAAGCATGGTATTCAAACAAAATATATAAAACGAATTAATTGTATTCAATGTTTTGAACTTTTATTGAGAAAATTCGTTTCGGAGCAAACGTGTAAAACATGCAAATAAACTCGACTGTTAAATTAAAATGAGACCATTTCAAATATTTGCTCCTTAGCACTGCGGTGCTCTACATTGGTTAGCACACTGTGCTACTACTGTGAAGCCAGCGCCAACTGAGTTTGACTCTCAGTCATGGGAAACGTCATTGCCCCGACCCCCCTCCCCCCTTAATCAACCTGCATTAACCATTTTAGTGAAGTATGATCAGAGAACCCCCCCCCACCCTGTGAACAGCACATGATAACGCAGTGGCAGCCAAGAAACTGAACATGTCCGCGAGGATGTCCACCTATGAGACAGAGAGATTAAATAAAGTTGTGTGCATCGTAGGATCGTGAGATGCGGGGGGGGGGGGGGGGGGGGGGGGGGTTGCTTTCATCCTAAAGTGGTTTGACAACAGACTGTCGAACAATGATTATTTTCGATTGAAACGTCGTGATCTATTTTTTCTACCTACGTGACTTTACCGAAAGAACCAAAGAGTATGTTGTTCTTGTTGCTGTTAAAAACCCCTTGCCGATAACCACTAATTTGGAATAACATCACTCTGAGAAATGAACGCTTACAAAATCTGTTGAAGATGGATATTTTTAAATGTAGAAAATGTCAAGCCCCCCCCCCACCCCCTCTTTCGTTTTTAACATTTGTACAGTACTCCCATAAGGTTCTTCAGACTGTTTAATATGATTTGTGCATTTCAAGACCTGCCAGTTTTCAAAAGTCTGTTGCTGAAATCTCCACAGAGGGCTTGGCTGTACGTCAGAGCCATCTGCATGTGGCATCGACCTCCCTGCCAAGGGCTCACGAAATGCACGCTGCCAATATCACAACCAGTCTCTTACTTGCGCACGTACACACAGGCAAATAGTCACTGGGGAGGATAAAAAAAAGTTTTGAGTAAGATATGGTTTTAAAAGTTTCGGCAACGACAATTTCGGCTCACATTTTTTTTATACATTCAGATAGATGTACTAATCGTACGATAGAATAAGTGCACAGATATATTTTACGTGTGTGTGTGCATCCAAATCATTTTACTCATGTGATAAGTGTAAAGTTGTTTGCAGGCTTTACTTTCGTACATTGGAATTGGTGAAGCTATTGACAGCCAATCTTCAAGACGTATTCAGTGGCCTAGTTTATCCTGTCCTCTGCCCTTGAATTACGGAAGGTCTGTCTCTCTGCTGCTCATATAGTCTGAATGATCTTTCTTTTGCTGTTCAAGTCCCGGCTCAAGACTTTAATCTTCTCTTCTCCCTATAGCTCTCTCTCTCTCTCTAAAGTTGCTTCAAATGCGCTTCCACCATAACATCCTCTTAGCTCCCTCCATGGCCTGTAGAATTATAACCACCATGCCCTGCTTTAAATACCAACGTCGTCCCTCGTTGTACAGTGTCTTGTGATTTATAAGCATTATATATCCGAATAGTTTTATAAATGAGCTTGTGCACGGTTCTAATTACCGCAGACTTAACTCAGTGATGCAAATTTACATCCCCATCATCCTCATCATCAGGCATGATCAATCCACTGCTGGGTGAAGGCCTACCCTCTCACGATCCTACGATGCACATTCATTAATTTCATCACTCTGTCTCATAGGTAAACAACATCGCGAACACGTTCAGTTTCTCGGCTGCCACTGCGTTATCATATCCTAACCCGTAGGGCGGTGGCTCTTAACCTGCGGTGCACGATGCACCCCCTGGGGGTGCGAGATGCCCTTTCTGGGGCTGCGAGACATAGGCCAGATTGTTTTGGAAGGTAAATCATCGAAACAAATTAAGCACGGCCACGTCAGTGGAACGACTTTATTTCATCAAACCTATGTATGTATTACCATTATACATGTTTTAATGATTGAAACCCCAAGACTGCAGTTAAGGTGAAGAACCACTTGCCTTAGGAGATGACTGTGCCGCTAAGCGCATCTCAACTATCTATGCGGCACAACGACGACGGTTTTCACCCTTGTGCTGTATAGCTCTGATGTGGTTTTCAGGCCGTCGCTCATGTTCTTCAGCATGATGTTTGACGTTTCGGAAGCAGTCGTGTGGGGGGGGGGGGTGTGGTGCTATTTAATCGAGAGAGAAAGTGTAGCTGTTCAATTAATTTCCTAAAGAATCTCTCGGCACATGGAGCAAAATGCCGGACAATAACCACGGTACAATCCAAAAACGCAACGGAGAGCTGTCTCAAGCTGGGTTTTTTTCCCGCATATGTTAATTCGAAGGAATAGTGTTTACAGAGAAGGGACAGGAAGTCGGGGACAATGGAATCGCCTTTCAGTTTCTGTGTAAATAGCAATTTCTTCAGCAGATACATTGATGTGCTGTTTTGGCAGGACTTGATTGTCCACTGTTTGTATATTGACATTTCAAACACAAACCCCAGTGCTTTTGAATTACAAAACAATGTATGGGCTGTTTGAGAACATTTCGGTTTTTTTTAATCTGCGCTGTTGGCAAAACACGTTGCACAACTCATTGCATTTAATTGCAATGTTTTATGGAATGTGCAAACATGCTTTAGCGATTTTTTTAAAATTTATACCCCCCCCCCCCCCCAGCAAGTTACAAACAAATGGACATTGGACAAATTGCCTTTGTGGCTAATCAATTATGCATTCTACTGTATTTGAGAATACAGTATAATTAAAAGCTCGGTAATTATTTCTCAAAGTAATCGACCTCATGTGCCGTTGAACATTTTGGCACATTTTTTTTATTTGCTCTCGTCTGCTCTTTGAACTAAATTGCTACGCGTCTGCCGTAAAAAAAAAAAAATCTAAACTCACCAAGCATGTTCGGTTTACTCAGAGTGGCCCCACCACGACAACAACAAAAAAAAACAAATCTAATTTCGAAACAATGACGGAACATGAAATGAAATCTAAAACGAGGCGGCACTTCCGTGGTGGGAACAGCGCAATAATGCATTCTCCTCCACTCCATATTTAATGGCTCACAATTTCCAATTCGCGGTGATGGCTACTGTCGCGGGGTCACCTGTAGGCAGAATCAATCTCGCACGAGATAGCCACTCCAAGGGCTTCAGATGCTCCTGCTGCGACTTCTAACGCAGCCCTCGCTCTCTCCTCTCCCTCTCTCCCTCCCTGGCAGTGCCGTCTCCATGGGTGCAACGTCTGGGCGTGGGTGCTCTCTTTCCAGCGATCATTAACCCCGCGCTCTGCAGCAACAACAACAACAACAAAAATAATCCAGCACCAGGGAGACGCCGCCGTGATGAACAGCAATTTAAATCGCGGCGCGGACTGTGTTTGTGATGGAACAAAGAAAAAAAAAGAGCGAGTCAGCTGTGCCGTGCGCATGCATCGCACCGCGAGTTGTTTACCGCGGGATTTGAACCGTGAAAGTTGTTTTTCATGCCGTGCACATTCTAAAAGAGCGTCGAAAAATCTCTGCTCGCGAAAGCGATCGATCGTGATTTGTGACATTTAAAATATCAGCAGCCGTGATCATCGTCGTCGTCGTCGTCCTCAACCATGATCCCTCCGCTGCTGGATGAAGGACTCCCCAAGCTGCCGCCAAATCTCGTGGTCTTCATGGTCAGGCGACGCAACGATCTATCCCGCTGTTGCGCACGAGCTCATTTCATTGCGCGTATTAAAACGTGCGATTAACATTCATCGGCGCACAGTGTAGTTGTGGCGATTTTCCGTATTCATGCACAAGTCCTGCTGCTACATTTTCTGAGATTTTTTTTTTTACATTTACAAAGTACGACTTGTTATGACTTTACAAAATGCAACGCAGTTTCCTACGTTGGGCTGGCGGGAGGGGGGGATAGCGCTCATGTTTAATGATGGCAGCATTCGACGGGTTTCCGACGCGAAACGCACTCTGTACCCAGCACCCAGCCCCTGCTTATTATGCGAGCTAAATAATTGACGACTCACCCAGCGTGGCGGTGCATTTGAACTAAGGGTGAATAAACCCGATTTGCATTGCAGTATACCTGGCAGCTTGGAACACAGCATCTCACTCATCACCCCGCCGATAGCCCCTATTACCCCCCCCCCCCCCCAACATACATGCTCTGCATCCTCTAAACTAGACAAAAACTAAACTCTCAGACGCAACTGATTTAATAAATAGTGTAAAGTTGTCGGTGAAAGAAAGCAAAACAATTAGCGATTTAAGAAAACGAGTGTACAGTTGTTTTTGTCCAATTTGTTTTTATTTACTTATTACAAACAGAAATATTTTTTTCAAATTGCCAATGTGTGAGTGCCTTTATTTGTTACATTGTTATTCAATTCCGTGTTTTACCATTCCCCCATATACGAGGTGCATTGCTGCAGTTGTATCTCTCACGCCGCTGCTGATGCGAGGGCCTCCGCTAGGACAGGCCTCTAGTGGCCCTCTAGACCAGTGGTTCTTAGCCTTTACTGCAGCCTGCACCTCTTTTGTTCTCAATCGGTCAAACTAAATATAGATAATGTTAAGAAACACATCGGTTTGCTTAAATAAAGTGGTTGTACTTACGTGCCCGCGCTAAATTTGTGTTTTCAATTATTTACCTTCTAAAAAAACACATGGAATGCCTCGCATCCTCAGAAAGGGCATCTCGCATCCCCCCAGTGGGTGCATGGACCCCAGGTGAAGAAGACCCACTGCTCTAGCTTGGTCAGACGTCTTGAAAAATGTTCGAGTACCCACACTAGACCGCATCGCACGCGACCTGCCTGACGACGTTTAATAATGCGACGACGGGATATTTTGACAGTCGTGCAGCATTCTTTTACAAAGCCGTGGCTGGAGAGCGAACCGGCAAATTCTGGGTTGCAAGTCCGACATACTAACAACAACCATTTGAGGCAGTGACATGACCTCACGGTTGTTGCAGAGGTTCGCGGTTCCGGCCCAACAGGCTGCCCTGGTTATTTCTGCGGGTAAAGTTAACCGTAAAATATGCGCCGCCCGAATTTACGGTGGACGTTGAAGATTCCAGGATGTCATTCACAAAGAGTAAGGCATTTTGTGCAGGCGTCCACATTTGTGAAATTTGAAAAAATTACCAGCAAATTGCTCCTTTGGATTACACGTGGCAATAATCGCCCCCTACCGGCAGACTAGTGCCCGATTACAGGCCAGGTTGGCGAGTCATCTTGTGCCCACAGGGTCGGCTGCCGCTGGGAATGCCCATTGACATGTTTAAGTTGAGATGTAAAGTGCTCTGAAATTCCCTGGCCAATATGAGGGTGATCTCTCTCTATATATATAGAAATACAGTAATTATCATAATTATTACAGCAGCATCCCCTTATGCATATAAACACCATGCTTTTTTCACAAAAGAGCAGAATCGTAAGCTATATAAAAAAATATATAAAGACAAATACAAACATCCCCCGTATAGCCTAAAACAGACTGTTGGGCCAAGGGACGTTAGCGAGCACCTATGAAGGCTGGAACGGCACACGAGGGGGTGGGTGACCAGCACCACACGAATGCAAACAGACACACAAAGACAAACACGCACGCGCAAGTATGGACAGAACCGCACGCGCTTCTCCGCCTATTTAAAAAGTGATCAGCGGCTGAAAAAACATGGTTCCCGCACTTAAGCGAATGACGACTTCCTCAGACTTGCCCTACGGTGCAGCAGCGTCCTGCTTTGTTAAATGGTTGCTGCCGGGATCAGTGTCGCTGGGGCCTTTGGCTGCTGGGGGGGGGGGTACAAACAGTTATCTCCTGCTATCGCGTTTCCTGACACGGAGGGCTTCACAACTCTCTCCCTCCCTCCCCTCCTCCCCCCCCACCAAGTCCTGCTGATTGTCGTTAATCTCCAGTGCTCAGCCTTGGCACATTGCCTCTTTGTTTGCAGAGTTAGACAATGTTCCTGGTACAAATTGATTTCTTTAATCTCCTCCGAGTAAACGAGCCAGGACTTGGGCCTGTACAGGCTCAGCTGGTTACGGCCACCACTGCTAATTCTGAGTAAATACTTCCAGCCCCTTCCTGTTTGACAGAATTGTAAAAGTGTGGATTCTACTCTGGGATTTCCCCCTGCGGTATTCACGTGGGCCAGTTGTGTTACGTGTTATTTTAATGGAAACATTCCGTAAGAGAGCGAATAAACTAACCTTAGCATTCTCTTGTTCCATTGCTAACAATACACAGTCGCCTGTTCGTGAAACGGTAAAACATGATTTTCCGCACATGCTTTAGTTGGGTCTATTGAATTCCATTAGCCTTCTAAAACATTAGATTAACTGCACATTTTGCGTAAGAGAAGACGTAGAAACTGGAGTAATTCATGTTTTTCACATCAAGTACAAAAACACAGTGCAGTACAGCCATGTGAAATTATGCTCCTTCATCTACCTCTTTTAACGCCTTCCAACCGATGTCAAAGGTTTTTACGCATTTATCCCTGTGCTTATATAATTGTGAGACGGGGTGGGGTCACTACACCTCAAATAAAGATGACGCAATATGCCCCAGCCTGGAGCATTAAGTTGATCACAGGGCAGCAGAAGCACAAAATGAGACCCGAACCAGAGGAACAAGAAATATATTTTCGCAAATCATGCATGTACATTTTGTCCAGAAGGCTACTTACCAATTTGGCTTCCTTTGCAGCTAAATAAATACACTTCTGAGGATAAACACATGTTGGAGAGCATAATGTAATCCAATAGTGTGTATTACTCTTCCAAAAAAATGTTGGTTTAAACATAAATCTTTGAATTGAGCGTTTCACAAATGACCAATGAAGCACAAGATTTGAATTGCACAGCTGCGCACCACGGCGAGACAGCCAGTGTGTTTACAAGCCGCACGGGGCTGATCGGGATGCAGCTCGTGACTAACACGGCCCTCCAAGACAACAGTCGCAGGCTTGCCACAGAGCACATCGATTTGCATAACAGCAAGGCACCAGATATTCTGTCACTGGATGAATCTTCCCGTGCCTGTTGCTGGCTCAATTTCATCTGTAACCACCATAGGACACAAGCTCCTGTTGAACGTTCTGCAGTTGTCATTTTTATTTGATTTCATTCAATACGAGGCTAATTGGTTTTCGGGCATTTATTTTAATGGAGATCATTGTTAGCTTAACACTGTTTGTTTTTACAGTTTATAGCCTCGAGCTCTTCAACTTTTAACCACACTTTTTTACGTGTGCAGTGTGTTTTTAATAATTGTGAGAAGGGATGATAGTATGTGTGTATATATATCAAATGTAAACGCCACATGGTGTCCTTCTTTGCAACGTCTCTTCCAGACTCATTCATGTTAATTTAACTTGGCTTTATCGTCAAAAAATGTAACTGTGCAGTATAGGAGGGCGAGGAGATGGAAACAAAAAATAGTACGTGCAACAAGCCTCGGATATAAGGCCGAGATCCTTCATTGCCAAGGTCCGTGTCAAAGGCCAGTCACGTGATTCCCCACCTCTTCCTCAGGTGCGTGGGCAGGTGAACCACGTGTGATGCCGTCACCTTGCTTCTAAGCGCTAAGCTTTGAGCAACCTCTTTGCTCGATTGTGGCCGGGTTTCTCACGGATAAGTCCCTACAAAGCAACGCTGCTTTCATACACGAGTTGTTGACGCGTCGGATCGTCAGCATGAGCGTTATCCGTGAATCGCCCGCGACCGACACACAGATAGACAGACACCTACCGACGGAAGTGATTACACCTGACCAGTTTGAAACGCCCGTGTCTGAGGACCAAGGACACCCGAGACCACACTCCACGAGGGCAGGGGTCAAGGGGTGAGGCCTGTGACCATGTCCTTGAGGCGGCCTCAAGGCTCACTGGGCTCCTCTCAGGGACCACAACGCCCGCCCGCAAGCCCCGTAACTGATCGTGTGTTCAACATCGTTCATCCAGAAGTGGATTGACAAAGGGGTGCTGATGATGATCATCGTGGTGGGGGTTTGCCTAAAAAAAACAGCGTTAAAATAATTTAACATGTAGCCTTTCGCGACAAATATTTACGATTAATTGAATCAACTTTATTAGTTGGCTGTGTCGGGTGGCGGATGGTTTGCGACATACATCTTACTTGCGCGATCTGACCCACAAATTGAAATGATGTTTGCAGCTTCTTGAATCTTTATCTAGGGCAAGGTAGAACGTGAACGCAGAACTCTTTTGTTAGGTAAATTACAACAATGCAGTACATATACAGTACGACACGAAGCTGGAATGCAGGCTTTGTGTGATCTTTAAAGGGGGGTAGAGTTATAAGTTCTGCTTTCTTCCGTTATTGCAGTGGCTTTATTTTCGACAGTCTCTTATTTATCATCACCATCCCATTTATCTTTCACCGCAGCGTTCGCGCTCGCTGCGCTTTCAAGAAAACTTTATGACCTTTTGTATCTCCGTGATGTCTCTCGGCTTGTTCTTTCCAGACTGCACTGTGGCCTTACACTCTGTAAAGTGTCATGATGGGATGGGAAAAGAAATCAATATCTTGAATTTACCAGGCCCCGCTGGCTGTGCAAAGTGGTGCAAATGAAGTCCCATCTGTGCAATCACAAAAGACAGAAAACAGAGGCTTTTCAGAAAGAAGAGAAAGGAAAAAAAGGCTCTTGCCCAATAACAGCAGAGGTGGGCAGTCAGTCCTTGCTTCGGGCGATGCAAGCCCACACGTCTTCACACTCAAAAGTGGTCTCGATAAAATATATATATTTATACAGTAAAGTCCTGTTCTTTCTTAGTATTGAATAGAACATTTAAAATATGGAATTGTACATAAAGGGTGTTTTTTTTTAGGCACACCGTTTAATTTGATGAAAGATTCTCCCCCGTAAGCTATTGATTGTTGTGTGGGCTTGGAGTGTAATGACAGTGGGGATAATGATTCACTCTAAGCCATCAAGTTTCCTGTGTGCATTAATTGCAGGCAAGATTATTTCAATGGCCTCTCTCTCTCTCTCTCCTGTCAATCAACCCCTGGGTAGTGAATGGTGCCATAAGGAGATTGCTGCGCGAAACAATTTACTAAGCTGAAATGACAAGGCACTCCGATGGGGCAAGATTATGGCCTTTAGGCGATATTTTTGGAAGCTGCCGCTATTGACTAAAAGACGCGTTGGCCAGCCCACTCCGTCCCGCTTTCTCTGCTTTCCACCCGCTGTGCCGCTCACAAAAAAAATCAATGCGACTTCCTGCAGTCAAGCTCATCTCTGAGGACGGTTATCTGAATGATAATGTTTAGATTTTTTTTAGCGCGACAGCCTCGCAGCACGGCCTCTAAACGCGCCGCAGCTAATTGGTGCGACAATACAATTAATTCGTGCAGGGCGTTATTCTGACAAGTTGAGGAGCATGTTTCATCCGAGGCGAAGAAAGTGTCTCCAGATGAATCATAAAGAGAAACAATGCAGCCCGCTGAGATGATATCGAGAAAGGGGAAGAATAATGGTCGAAAGTTAGACCGTTCTCTGAGAAAATGTGATCGCCTGTTGTGACGTGGACTGGCACTGGCATATAATTGCACGTGGCTCCATGGCACGGAGGTTGCTTTGATCACGTTGACCACGAATGTCGTTCATGCATAGAAGGGTTTAATCTTTAGAATTATATAAAAGGAAAAACAAATCAAATTCGCTGTACTTCATTTTATTTGTCCACATTTATTATTGATAACAACAAAGACCCTACAAACCAAATTGGAAGCAACAGAAATGTGTGTTGTGTGTGTGTGTTTTTTTTAAGGATCTACATAATGCCATGTTCAAACGAGATGAATAACATGCATCTATTTCGGATAGCAGATTCAAGAAGGAAATATTATTTGAATTATTCGAAAAATTCCAAGTTGTTTTTTTAGGACATTTAATGAGAAAACAAGAAGGTGGAAAGGAAAGGGCAAAAGTCATCTGAAGAATTGGATGCAACTGGGAGGAACATGGCATGCTAAGCTCTTGAGGAATATCACGGACTGGGCGGCCATGGAGAGCCACGATCGTCGACGTCTTTGACAAAGGATGTGGCTCGCACAGAGAGAGGTAAAACGCAAAGGTGAATCGGCAAACGCCACACCTTCGGTCGCAAAAACCAGGATCAACATAAGAGGTCAAAATTTCAATAATCTCCTGGGCATTAAACTTCAGAGTTGTACAAATTTAATAAAAGCGCGCGCATTTTCATTAAGAGAATCATTATACTTGGCTCCCACATGCTGCCCAGTGCTGGTTAGTCTTGAGGCTGAAGGCCAAATGTATGCGTTGGTGGGAAATCACATTTCTGCCAATGTTGGGTGGAAAAGTGGTTTTCACCAATGCATGAAATAGGTCCATTATGTAATTTACAGGCCTACATTTCGATAAAACTAAACAAATGTGAGGAAAGTAGCAGTTCGCAGCTTATATTTGTACTTGCATTCTACTAAAATGAGTCT